TGAGGACCAACCCGCCTACACTGCCGTTCACTGCGACAGTTTGTCGCGCGGTCCTCCTCGGTCTGCGCCGGACCGCTGGTGGCCATCCACTCCGCTCCCGCCCGACACCATTCTCCACCTGCGCTCGAGCTGACGCAGCCGAAGTTCCTGACCAGTCGTGTCAGGAACTTCGAGCCTACGCTTCGAGCCTACGCTTCGCAGAGCCCAGCTCGACGTCCATCTCTGGCGTGATGGAGACCTCGTCTGGCAATGGCGAAGCACCAGCTGCCCCGCCGGCGCTCCCTGTTGGAGGTACCGTCGAGCGCTCGACTGCAGGTGGATCTGCATGAGCCGTAGTCGACGGCTTGTCCGGCAGTACGGTGTTGTTCACTTCGGGGGAGGTGCCGGAAGCGTCGTCGCTCTTGGCTTGTTCGGCCTGGGTTTTCACGGGCGCGGCCGCTCTCTCCGCCTCTTCCTCGTCCATCATGTCGTCGACGTGGTCTTCGTTGACTCCTCGTCCCACGGCTCGGGCGTAGGAGCGGACACAGTCGTCACGCTCGTGGCCATAGGCGCGGCACTCGGAGCACCTGGGAGCCCGGCAGTCTTGACGTATATGCCCCGTCCTACGGCACCGGAGGCATACTGGGGCCCTCCCAGGGACGACGACCAATACCAAGCCGCCTCCTAAGCGCAGCTGATGGGGGAGGCGGTCAAGGTTGACACCCTCCCGGAGTACCAGCCGCACTATCCGGGTGGTAGACTCGGCTCCCTCGAAGCCCGGCACCTTCCAGCGATCGGACGCGACGTCCTTCACCTCGTCGTACTCCGAGAAAGCCTTGCGAATGGTGTCGTTCGACACGTCGAACGCCACCCAGTGCAGCTTGATGCGCACCTCTTGCCTGGAGGGGTCCACGACGATGCAGGTGCGTCCTTTGACAGCGAGCCGCCCTGCGTTCACCAGCTTGAGCTTGGCCGCGTCGGTCCTCAGGTCAAGCAGTCAGACATGGGACATCTGGTACGCCCCAATTCCGGCTACCTCCCTGAGGACCCCCAGTTCGTCGAGCGGTTGCCGGAAATCCTCAATCCTGTATGGCCTCCCGGCCATGTCGCAGTGAAGGACGACCGCTTTCTTCATTGAATCACCTGATGGAAGCTGGGGCAACAAAAACCTGTACTCACCTGAGCCGGGAAAAACAGTATCACCGCGGCCGGCGAGGGCCGTTATCGCCGCTCCTTCGGAGCTCATGATTTCACCTCCGTGCGCTCGCGCGTTCGAAAATGGAATCTCTCGGCCACCGATCCCCCCGGTTAACGCTAAACTAAACCATATTGAGGAGTTTCAGCGACGGTGTCACCGCCCTGGCGGCCGGTCGCCGAAGGAGAACGAGGGGGATAGTTTCGCTGGGCGTTGGCTTTCTGTACGTGCGTTGGCCGCGAACGTAGGCTTATAAACTTCGGCAGCAAGAATATTACGCGGCTCTAGTGTTTCGGTACGAGCAACAGAGGTGACACGATCTGCTACGACTCGCTACGATCACCCGCCGCAGCGATGCAGGCGTCGAAGGAGCGCAACCTGTGTACTACGCAGTCAGTTGCCGTCGCCCGACGCAGGTCGTTTGGCATTCAGGGCTTTCCGCCACGGGTTCTTCGCTTGTACTTGGAACCAAGTATTATTTCCTGTGCTTGTGTATGTGCTCAGCAGTTCTTCAGACTCAACAGCGACTCAAAGTTGACGGCGGAAGGGCTTGCAGCAACGCTTTCGGTTGGTGCATGGGTGCGACGACTACACGGATAAATTTTAAGATTGCTGCCAGTAAGGTGGGCCATAGTCGCTTTATGTTGACACGACTTTGAGTGTAAGTACTCCGTGCAAAGGTAAATCTATCGCGTTTCTAATCCTCCTTTGTTTTTGTTGTCTTTAGCACGCACGACCGACTGCTAAGCAAATGCTTCTGTACCGATCACGGAGTGAATGTCTTCGGCCTTACATTGCGGAACGCCCAACAGAAAGTCATATTCGTTCAGCGAGAAAACTTCCCTTTCGAGTGACCTTCTGATTGATAATTTCTCCCGTACTTAAGTGCTTTAATCAACACGATCGTTCGATTAAGTTTGCTTCCCTAGTAGGGACATTTTTGTGCCACATGCGGCACTAATGCTTGGCAGTGGGCACCATGTATGCCACTGGTGGTTTTGTGAATTGGTTTACTTCCAAAGCTAACAGTGTGACAGGTGGGACCATTCAATTTGCTAAAAATGTGATGATATGGGAATTTCGTTGCATAACTAGCGTTTTACGTTTAAGATTAATAAGAAACATGCTCGTGTGATGATGCATGTCTACAGCATAAGCTTTGCAGATCCAGAATGGATGTGCTATAGGCTACAGCCTCAAGATTTTTAATGGACCAAATTGGTGATTACACGGCAATAAATATTGTGGTGAAAAACTGCCCATTGACTCGGTGAGTTTTGATTGTGACCATTGGCGTGCTGTTGGCAAATTAGATAATGGCACACCTTTTCCCTGACCATCTGGCTTCAAGGGGCATTGCATCTAGATGTGCTTAAATATCTTTATTTCAAGGTTCAGTGGACCCCTCTGCATCATTACGGGAAGGCAGTCTCAAGCCACAACAAACAGCAGTGAATATACAATGCATAATAACAGGCACCAGTGTCCAGGCGTATAAGTCCGCAGAAGCCAATTTGAGCCTAAAAATGTTTCTGTTTTGTTTAGAGTTTGCATTTGGTGTATAATTCGCAGGGCCCGATTTCCGCGCCCAGTGCATTGTCCGCCAAGCTGGTGCTTTGTGTCTTCGTGCTTTTTTTCCTGGGTGGCATTTTCTTCAGAAGTTCTTCGGTGAACGCTATTGAGCCTTAAGAACTGCTTTTGAGGCCCATATCGCCACAGATCACACACAAGCACAGAAAATAACACTCGGTGCCAAGTACAAACGAAGCACCTGGGCAGAAAGCCGTGAATGCCAAACGAGCAGCGTTGGGCAACGGCGACTGACTGCGTTGCGCCCCTTCGACGCCTGCATCGCTGCGGTGGGTGGTCGTAGCTAGTCGTAGCGAGGTGATCTTCACTTCAAGCAAGAAATCTTGCCATACCATAGTCAAGATATGTGTGGAAGTGTTCGACGACGTGGGCTCTCTCACGTTGGTGCAGTTATCAAGAAAGGTACATATCAAGAATGTTGCATGTTTGAGGCTGAAACTATAACACATACTTATATAAACCTAAATTTATTGGTCTGCGGCTACAAACATTTTCGTTGACGTTGCTTAGATGATGTAACCGTTCAGGCCTCGCATTAAATGGTGTTGCGAACTCTTCAGTTGTGTATGAAAACCTATTTTGCCCTAATAAAAGACATTTTCAAAAGGACATGTGTCTTCCACTGATACATATCTTCCATTTTACAATACAGAGGCAAACAGAAAAACTGCGTACATCTACCACTTAGCATAAGCACCTTTGGCATTCATTCTTGAGCACACTCAAATATCAGCTTAGTTTGCTCTTGATTTAGAAGCTTTGCCCTGTTCTGTAAAAAGAAAACAGTTAAAAAAGCTTTACCTTCGTTCTCCTTCTCGCATTTAATACAGACATGTTTGTCAGCAGATATCACCGTGGCACATATAACTCGAATGACCGATGAGACTATTGCTATTACAATAAAGCTTTCCACAAGAGCCAAAACGAGGCTTGTAGGGGTGCACAAGCACATCGAAATGAGATTGGCGCTTTCGTTGCTTGTTTACATTATGCGTAAAAACAGGACGATCGGCGACCAGCTGATCGCAATATAACACCAAGGATACCGATGTTTCGATACACAGAACGCAGGATAAAGACCTCAATCGTCCCTTGTTTGCTGTAGTTGTCATTCTTTCCATCCAACCGCTTTTTAGCACAATTAACTAGAACCGAAGAGTTCGCCACACCTTTTAATGCGAGGCCTGAATGGTTACATCATCTAAGCAACGTCAACGAAAATGTTTGTAGCCGCAGACCGATAAGTTTAGTCTTAGATATAGTACTATCGGAAACAATATGAGCGTGAACGCGCCTCCGCTTGTCGCCGCGGAGGCGCGGTCGCGCTCATATTGTTTCCGATAGTATATACGCGTCATAGTTTCAACGCGCGAACATTGTTGATATGTACCTTTCTTTGGACCCGCGTACATTCGGTTCAACTTGATGACAGCTGCACCAGCGTGAGAGCTCACGTCGAACACTTGCACACATATCTTGACTATGGCAAGATTTCTTGCCTTCGATTGGCTTGAACACTTCATCTGTAGCATCACGGTAGGTCTTGGTTGAAACGATCATCGTCTCGCACACGACACGCTTTGTTTAATTTATACGCTACCGGTCTACGGGCGTCGCAAATCTATCCCCCTCTTGTCCGCCATGTTGGATCGATCGGAGCGCCCCCTATATTCGCTGAAACTCCTCAATACCCGGCTTCGTCGGTGGGGCGCGGGTGGGCGCGGTTGAGGAATACGAAACTGCGCAACCACCAGATTTCCGAGATTTCGACAGAAGGGAAATTAATGCAGCATAATGACTTTATTGCTTTTTATAAGCGTTAGAATAGCTCAGAATTTAGTTGACAACGTTACATTATCACTGTTTATATTGCTGAGAGTTTTCACCCTTCGCGTTTACCATGGCAACGTTGCTTTCTTTCTCTCGTGTTCTGTCGCTCTCTTTTGCGATCGTTCACTCGGGACCCCGGGTGTCGGCGCACGGGATTTGCCACTCCTCCTCACCCACCTTTACCCCCCTGGTGTTGAGTAGACACACTTCAAAACCTGATCATGGACGTCACCCAGTAAATTAAAGGAAAAAGACGACGAAGTGATCTGAGCCGGAACGCAAAAGCTTCTATCTCTGGAATTTGCTATCCTACGTGACTTCGTTGGTCCCTTGGACTTTGGGGTCTACTCGGACGGCAGGAGCTAGGGCAGCTCCCTGCACAGCAAGACAAGGGATGCATGCTGGCATGTCTCTTTCCGAAAACGATATATCCATCACGGCAGCACAACACCAGGCCAGCAGCGCGCTCGATGAATCCCAGGACTGCAGTCGATCTGTCTGCTCAGAGACCGCCAACATGGAGAGCGAAGATTCCGGAGGCGAATGGCGCAGATCCGGCAGAAAGCGCTGTCGTCCAAAGAACAGCGACTCGTCTCCAGACATTCAGCAACAACCAAAGAAACAAGATAACACCACCCTCACCGTCATCTTCGTTCCTGTGAAAGAGGAGACCAGACTTACAGCGCTCAACAGCCTGAAAATTTCCGAAGCCCTCGAGAAGCTCTGCCAAGAGTGCATCATCCAAGTGCGCCCCAACGATCGGCTGAACCTGATCGCTGTTGATGTTCGCAACGGGCAGGCAGCGAAAACTCTACTGAACACTGCAATGCTCTGCGGTGTTCCAGTAAGAGCCTACTCCCCAGTGTCAGGGCCCATTTCGTATGGTGTCATCCAAGGCGTCGACGCTGAAATCACAGAAGACGAGATTGCGCGCAATCTTCGCGCTGATGACACATGCTGCAAGATTGCCAACGTTCGGAGACTTGGACGCTCCCGCGTCGTGAAAGTCGCCTTCACCAGGACTAAGCTGCCAAGCTACGTGCTTCTAGGGCACGTTCGCTATCCAGTCTCACCGTTCACAGACAGACCGTTACAATGTCACAATTGTAACGGATTTGGCCATAAGAAAATCGCCTGCCAACGTCCGAAGGCCTGCTGCCGTTGTGGGCAACACCATGACGGGACGGGTGCTGAATGTCAGTCCACGACAGTGAAATGCGCCAAATGCAGTGGAAAGCACCAAGCCACATCACATGACTGTCCAAAATGGATTAAAGAGCGTGACATTATAGTGTACTCCAAGAAGAATTCAGTGGGATTCCGCGAAGCGAAGTCAGCCTTAGATCCCCAAAAGAGACAAAAAACTGGCACCGCTGAGATCATAATGCAAGACGAATCAGAGCCAACGATCTCTAAAGCAGGCGCCAAAAGTATACGCTTCTGTCGTCGCTGAGGACTGTCAGAAAAAAATCGTTATCAACCAAGTTCCACCGAATGATGTCCCAAGTGATGAAAGGCCAACGTCGTCCACGCAGCAACCTTCCTCGCAGGCGCTTCCAAGGCGTCAGGCAACAAAACGAAGCACTGAAAGGAAAGAAAGCGACGAGGCTTCAGGTATACCCATCGCAACAACGCCCGCCTGGGTCTTCATTATCAAGGCAGTTGCAAACATATCCCTGGCAATATTGTCTAAATTTGAAGCCTCGTGGGCCCGGGCAATTGCTACAATTTTGCAGGCAATGCTTCCCTTTCTGGGGGCATGCTAAGGGGGACCAAGTAACGCCAATGCGCGACACCGTGGGCAGAAGAGCCTGAACAGACAAAGAGCTCCATTATCTCGCCAAAAGAATAGCACTCGTCAACAAAGGCGCAGTCCAGTGTTTCCTTCCATCCTTCAATGGAACGTAAATGGGCTGCGCACGCGCCTACCAGGGATGCGCGAATCTTTAAAAACTGAGCGTGCTGACGTCCTGGCTCTTCAAGAAACGAATGTCGTATCTGGAGAAGAGCGCCTTTCTCCTTATGTGTTCTACCACAGTGCCCCCATAAATCCAAATGATAGGTCACGAGTGGCGGTACTTGTACGTGACGATGTATATCATAACCCCATAGACCTTTCGGACTTGAATTCGGCCATGGAGGAGTACTCCGGCGTAATTGTTAGAATAAAAGGATGCGAAACAACGATTGTTTCAGCTTACATCACGCCACACGGAGTCTGGAACACAAAAGTGCTGGAAGAGATTAAAAAGAGAAGCCGCGGTCAGCTTATCATCTGCGGAGATTTTAATGCTCACAACGAGGCTTGGGGTGGTAGACGAACGGACGCCAGAGGAAGACAGCTAGAGGCTACCATGGCAGAGATTCAACTTCGAGCTCTAAACGATGGGTCCCGTAGGAAGGGGCTCAGCCCCACTACTATCGACTTAACTTTGGTGTCCTCCGAAATATTTGGGTTATGGACGGCTCGACCCGACACAGAAGGAAGTGACCAACTACAAGCCCCAAAAACGTAAAAACCTGTAAGGTGACGAACTGGGATTTATTTCGTCAGTATGTTGCTACCGCCATTGAGAGTGGCAACTATGAAGATCTAACATCTTGTATTGCGGAGTGCCTGCGACTTGCCACGCGCTCCGTCACGGTGCCCGTTACATGCCCTGCACCTGACTTGGAATGGCTAAATCTCCGCGCAGCCCGAAGACAGGCACAGCGAAGGGCACTTAGCACGGACGCCTCATGGGACTGGACGCGCTACAACCGGATCGACGCTAAATTTAGACGACATACAAAAAAACTTCAAAGATGGCAATGGAGACACGGATGCGCATCGCTCGGCGGTGCTGGTGGTGGTAGACGTGCTTGGAGACTCGCTCGAGCCCTCGGCGGCGCGAAACTTCCGCGTCATCCTATTGCAGCTCTTGCAATCGAGTCCGGTTGGCCCATGACAGTGGTGGCGGAGGTATTGGCGGACGAATTTTCGCGGCAGTCATCCACTCCGTTACAGTACCGGGAACAGTTAGGACGACTACCTTCAGTTCCACTCACCGAAGATCAAAATAACGAGGCAATGTTGGCGAGCCAATCCGATTTCACTCTGGCGGAGCTCACTGTAGCCCTTCACAAGTGTAACAAAAAGAGTGCTCCAGGACCGGATGGTATAACCTACCAAGCGCTCCGAAACGTCGATCCTGCCTACCACCTTGATGTTCTTGAAAAACTGAACCTCGTATGGACAACCGGCATAATTCCTGACGCATGCGGAAGGAGTCAACTATCATCCCAATACTCAAACAAGGAAAACCTGCCGCGCTGCCGTCGTCTTACAGACCAGTGTCACTGACAAGTTGTGTAGGCAAACTACTTGAATGGATGGTCCTTCGACGTCTCACCTGGTTATTGGATAGGATGAAAGCGTTTCCACCAGAACTAGCAGGCTTTCGAGCAAAAAGGTGCACCGGCGATGCCATTGGAGATATTGCGTCAACCCTCGAGGAGGCAAAAGCAACAGGGAAGATGGTACACTGTGTGTTTTTAGACATAAGTCGTGCATTTGACACTCTCCCTCACTTCACCATCATCCACCGGCTGAAGCAACTCGGAATTGGTGGACGGATTCTTTCCTTTATCAAGGCGTTCCTTTCTGGACGAACCATCCGCGTCAAAGTGCCTGAAGCTGTCAGCTCACCACGTCCAACAGACCGAGGAGTTCCTCAAGGCAGCGTGTTGAGCCCCATGCTTTTCAACATAGCGATGGCTACCCTCCCTGGTTGCTTACCAACAGGACACTCCAATCTCCGTACAAGAATGGCCATATACGCGGATGATGTTGCAATTTGGTGCGTCGGACCCTCGAAGAACGCGATCGCAATTCTCAATCGCCTTCAAGTGGCCGTTGATGCCACGGCGCTAATGATATCGAGATTGGGCCTTACCCTCTCAGCTGAAAAAACATCTTCACTTCTATACCGGCCTGCAGGTCGAGTACCACAAAACGCTCTGCAGCTGAAACTTGCTGGGATGCCACTCAGAAGGGTTAGACAGCACACCTAACTCGAAGTTGTCTTGGATGACCGCGTGACTTGGAGGCCAGAAGTTCGTAGGACACTGGGTCGATGCCGACGGCTCTTGCGAGTCATACGACAACTTGGAGGATGCTCTTGGGGCGCTCCACAACGTGCTCTTCTCCAACTTTATAAGGGTCTCATAATGTCCAGGCTCCTGTACTCGCTCCCTCTTTTAGCCATTGGAAGAGCCCAAATTAGAGAACTTGACACATTCCACCGAATTGCTCTTCGCAGCTGCTTGGGGCTCGCCCCTTCGGCGGAAAATATTGCGACACTTGTGTCTTCCGAGGAATGGCCGCTTTCCCTAAGACTGGAGGAGAGAGCCATGCGCAACATTAGTCGCATGAGTGCTATACCATATGAGTCTAGCATCCGATCTCACCTTCGGGCTAGACGAAACTCTCACCTGGGGCATTTGATAGTGCAACTCGATCGACAGATTGGAGGACCTGGAGAGTTCCTTCCTTCTTTGCCTCCGCATTCGACACGTCCACCACCGGTGATATGCGAAAGTCTACCTCTTCCGCAGCGAAAAGCAAATGTACTGACAACTGTTGCAAAGTCAGCTGCTCTAGAACGCCTAGATGGCGACTACAAGGACTGGCTTCACATATATACAGACGCATCCATCAACAAGGCCAAGAAGACAGCAACAGTTGCAATCACAATTCCAGAAATGGACTTTGATGGTGCTGGACGACTCAACTTTGTGACGTCATCAACAACGGCAGAGCTGGTGGCAATTTGGGGAGCACTTGAGTCTATCAAGAACATTACGTTGCCCACTAAGGCTGTAATTTTAACCGACTCTAAATGTGCAATCCAACAGCTCCAACGAACAGATAAACGCACGCCACTACTGGCAAGAGTTGTATTAGAGGCTCGAACAGTGGAGGATCTAGGGTGGACCCTCGCCATGCAGTGGATTCCCTCTCACGTTGGAATTTCCGGCAATGAGCGAGCAGACACACTGACTGCAAGGGCCCATGACGATCAGGCGCCGACGTTTCTCTTGGACCGATTCAACGAGGCGCATCGATTAATTCATGATGAGCTTCAGCAATTTCATCCACATCCTGGAGTGGCGATTGGCAAGCCGCCTCCAACGATTCCTCGGAACCTTCTACGTGCCGACGCCTCACTGCTACACAGACTCCGGGCTGGGTGTCCATACACGGGAAAGCGGCTTCACATGATGGGCCGCAAAAAAGACCCCAACTGCCCAGACTGTGGGGATCCAGAAGATACGGAGCACGCGCTCCTGTTGTGCCCTGCTCATGAAGAACCCAGAAGAACGCTTCTTCAGAGTTACGCCCAAGCTGGACTTGTACACGCCACTGTCAGCGACATATTGAATCCTGAGGGTCACCGGGGGGCGACAGAAAGAGCGTTCCGTGCACTTCTAAGATTCCTTCGAGAAACAGGTCTTGAAGACAGACTTTGACTTTACTGGGGAGTCGGCCAGGTGCCGGTAATTGATTACGTTTCCAGCGAATTAGTGACTAGAGAGTTTTAACATAGCGGTGCCGCGTTGCCGTTTCTGTTGCTGCGTTGCCGGGGCAGGGCTGGGGCCGCACCGGAGAAGGAGGAGGGGCGACGTTTTGGCCGGCCGTCATGTGGGTACCGAGCTGGAACAACAACTCCCGGGCAGTAGGGCACGGAGGAAGGATGGAGCGTTTCCTTGCGGTCGGTTCAAGGTCTGCTCCCGGCGTGGCGGGGACGGTGACATTATTGCGGTGGTGCTTTGCTGAATATTTTATGTCCCTTCTTGAGCCTCTCTGCATAGCACTTACAGTATGCGAAAATTGCCCTTTTTCTCATTCTTTTACTCTCTCCTATTCCCCTTTTCATCCCCTTCCCTAATCCACCAGGTAGTGACTCGCCCCATCAACGGAGGCCCACAATCTCCTGGTGTCCACCCTTTCCCGTCACCCCAGAAATAAACAAACAAACAAACAAGTAAATTAAAATCTGTATTAGATGGATGGTAATAGCCATACCTTTTGCAACGGGTGGTGGCTTGCGCCACCTAGCATGAAATTTTGTCGTCCCTCCTGTTTTAAAATGTGTATAAAATTTGTTCTAACACAACCCTCCGCCCCCCCCCCCTTTTTTTTTTAAAGCGTTTTCATTGCTTATTTGTATCTGTAGTTTTACCCCTCCGTAGATCTTTTCGAGCAATCTTCCAAACCCCTCTTGGTCACCGCAACTCTCCTTATCCTTTCGACCATCCATGTCTATATGCCTCCTCCAAATCCGTATAGTCATCCCTCCTAAGAGGGGGTGACGAAGCCCCGTGCACCTTAAAATTACACGTTCTATAGTTCCCCTTTCGCGATTGCGTATGTCGCATATAGTTTCTATTTCTTCCTATGTAGTCCTCTATGTTTTTATTCTTAGCACCCCTGTTCTAGCTCCAAACAGCAATGAGCTCCCTAATGAATTATCATACAACTGCTCCTTTTTTTATTTCTTATTTTGGTGCCCTGTATATTATTAAAATTGATTCCCCCTGCATTCTCTCTTCCCAAAATTTCCTTTCTGTTTCCTTTACTCCCTTTCCTACTCGTATGCTCTGATCGGCCCCATCTTGTTGAATGTATTTAGATCTCAGCTTGCGGGTTCGGTTTGTCCACTTAGTGTTTACACTTTTCATATATAGGCTTTCGCTGCCCACCGCGTATCCTCAATTTCAGCTAGTCTTTGTTCAAATTTTACTTTACTGATCGCTTCTCTACTCTCGAAAGATGCTCAACACATATCCCCCTGTGCTCCTTCATTTGGTGTATTCCCATGTGCCCTCAATGCCAACCTACCCACACTCCCTGGCTGTATCTCTAAACCTGCCTGGATTTCTTACCTCATACTCATTAGCGCATTCCCAAATGACAGTCCTGGTACCATGACTCCCTTCCACACACCCCTAACGACTTCATACCTATTATAGTTCCAGAGTGCCCTGGGTTTCGTAATAGCTGAATCTCGTTTCTTCTTCTTTATTACAATAACTTCGTGTTTTTTTAGATACCTTTTTCCCTCAATTAACCATGCTCCCAGATATTTGCACTTTTCTACGTGTTCTATCACTGAGTCCTGTATCTCCAGGGGTTCCCCCCTTTTCGTCGTTGAACACTATTGTACCCGACTTGACCCTACTGAATTTTAGGCCCAAACTGCCCCCTTCCCTGCTGCAAATCCTAATCAATTCCTGTATTGTCTCACGACTTTATGCTACGAGTACAACGTCGTCTGCATACAACCCGGCAATACTTGATTTACTCCTTCCACCATGTAAGTCAGGTCAAAACCTAGGTTGCACTGCTCTAATTTTTTTCCCATCTCACTGAGGTATATCATAAAGAGCAGGGGAGACAATGGGCAACCCTGTCCAGGTCCTATCTTTATTGCTGCTGGTCTTGTGGTTTCGGCTTCCCATGTTATAACCACCCTATTCTTCGTATAAACCCGTTCCAGAATCTTAACCATGGTTAAGTTTCTAGAACAGCGACGGCGGCAAGCACACAACCAGTATGGTTTCCGCCGTCGCTCGTAGCTGGTGTTGTTCGCGTTGGTGGGAATTCATGGTAGGAAAGAGCGGGAAAAACAGACGACGACGAAGAAGAAGCACGCAGTGTATCGAGTACAGCTCCGCTAGTCTTCCTTCTTCACGAGAGTGGAAAGGCTGAACGATTTTTTTTTTATTCACATTGTCATATGCACCTTTGATGGCCTTTGACTTGTCATTGCAATCTCTATGCACTGTGTGATCCTGAACTCGTTTTGAAGCTCCCCCAGAGCCCGCTTTCTCTCTGCCAATTCTTCCATTCTTCTTTTTTCAATTTTCATATCTAGTCTGTATATTACTGAGGTCACTGTGATTGGTCGGTAGGATTTAATAATGTCTTTGTCCCCTTGCCCTTAGGTACCAATCTCATCCTGCTCAATTTTCCGTCACTGGGTACCTCCCCTCCCATAAGCATCTGGTCAATCACTTGCCTTAGCTTCAATTTGCTTGTTTTGCCTAGAACTTTTATCAGTTTCATTGGTATGCCTCTTGACCTGTCGCAGCTCCATCTGGAACCTTTCCTTCTGCTTTTTTCCATTCCCCTGTGGTCATTTCCTCTTCTCCACTGTGGTCCTCCTCTTCTGTTATGTAGACGCTACCATTCCCTACGACCTGATCTGGTTGTAACTCCGAAAATGTTGCTTCGATTGTAAGTCTAATGTATGTCGAACGGTATGATGATGATGATGACGATGATGATGGTGCTTGCGATGCTTTTGAATAATTTCGTTTCCATCGAACAATACCAGAAAGCCACTGAAAAGTATTGTATAGTTTTATTAATTTTTAAACGCACACGCGCTCTATATTTTGTCTTAGATTAAATTTGCTTCGTACTTTAAACACACTAAGCCAGTTCTAAGTATGGTAATTTCAATAAACGCCGTAGAGACGGTTCTGGACATTTGGATCGAACACATTTTTAGCACAATGATACATGCGGTATTATTGCCGACAAGTTTTGCAATAGTTCAGCGTATCATAAAATAGTTGCAGGTGGCCACCGTCATCGTTGGTCGACACAAAGCTTCCTTTTGAACAACGCTGCGATACCGCTGGCTTGGTAATTTAGGTTGATCAATCCGTATCCATGATGCCTGGCAAAAGACGGACTGCAGTGTGTCAAGGGCCAGGCTTCAAAGAAACGACACCTTGGGCATATTGTGGCTTTTATGATGGTTATCAGAATTGTCTGAAGCTTTATCTCAAATTGCAGGCAACGCTTTTCCATCCTCCAGAGATGTTAAAACAGTCTGCGACAAAGCAAGACGGTATCACCCGAGATACCTGATATATCGTATCTAAAGTTCAGGAAATCGCATTTTCGAATTGACGATCGCCAATTTTTCCTTGCACAGGACGTCATTTCCGTTGCCCTCCAGAGAAGAGGGGAAGAAGGAGCTTCCCTCTTATCAGGATCCTCCTTTGTGCCTCCCGGATTTGCACAGGCGTCGCCATTCTCCTCCCAGAAGATTATAGAAGATTAACCTGTCACTCAAAATTCTTACAAAAGCACCTTCTCTCTCCTCCTTTTACTTGGTGTTCAAATGTGTGCGATGTGACGTCAGTGCAAGGAGCCTATTCGCGTCTCCAGCTCGACGCTCGCCCTCCCGCGGCGGAAACGGGAAGCGCTCTAGTGAGGGTCCCCCAATTCTCCTGCTCAGCGGGCATGGCGGAACTGCTCGCGATCATGGCTTGCGAAATGTCGTTTCCGAATGCAAACAACACTCTTCACTGTCCCAACGTAGTGCTGCAGCCGGTATGGGATTGTACCTTCCTGGAGAGTTTTAGTATTGCGCATAGAAGCAAACGCAAGCGGTGTGCGTTTGCGTTAGAGTTGCGTGCCCCACGTTGTGCGTGCGCCTCATCGCCATGCGCCATCCAAGACCGCAATTTCGGGCTCCGCGCACGCGCAGTGTGGAACGCGCAAAGCTAACGCAAACACACAGGGCTTGAGTTCGCTCGTATATGCAATATTAAAACTCACTACTGCTTCACCGGCTTCCAACGCCAACGAAACGTGGTGCAGTGAGCAGACGTGCAAGCAGGTAGGCGTTCCTTCGAACTGGAAAGGCTGAGATTGGCAAAAGGACGGCGAGCAAATACAAAAGTAAATAAATGTTATGAAAGAAACTAGTAATTAAAAAAAAGGCTTTTTTTTAACTTTTGGGCATTGGGTCTGAAAGTATATTGGCGGCGACTTTGGACGTTTCGCCGATTGTCAAAAATCGTGACTTTGATTGCACAATATACTTTACCCACAATTAATGTAATTTTACATGGATTTCTCACATTAGCTAGAATGTTTTAATTGATTTTAGACTATTTTTATTTTATTTGTAATTAAAATGCAGCAATTGGAACCAGTGATGATAATTAGCACAGTTTTCATTGTCATATTTCTTCGCGCGTTTAAAATGAGATCATAAGCAACAAATTAGATTAGAGCTTGAATAATTACCTATTCAAATACGCGAATTTTAATAGTATTATTATAATACAAATCGCGGCAATGTATGCCTCTAATTAACGCCAAGATCACGAGAATACTCTATTTAACCATAATAGTCTTTCCAGAAAGGTATAATTCTGTTTTCTATTTAGCATATGAAAAACTCTGACATAGTTATCAAGATAGACAATGAGTTAAACGCTGTATGTAATATGAAGTCCTACGCGTCACGCGGTGCTATGAAAACACACACACACACTTCAGCTGTATGACTCGGATTTCGTCTTGGGTTGTTGCAGCGAGAGCAGCGTTTATTAGTTTATACGTTTCGTGGACATATTGTAAAAATTGGAATTATTCTCTTATTCTTGTGCTGGGATAATTGTCATTATTTCCCATGACAATTATCTGAGCGAGAAAAAGGCAGCGAGAACGCACAGATATCAGCATTGATCTTTTCAACAACGACGAATATCAGCCTGGATCAAACAGTATGTCACAAAATAAAGTTTCCGCGAACAACTTTTCTAAGTAAATAATTACGATGTGAGACACATCTTGAATCATGAAAGAATCCGAAATTAAGACATCTGTCGAGAAATTAAGTCCAAAATAGAGGTAAGTTTCGGTTTCGCTCCAGAATTAAAACGCGCATTCTTCCGTAATTAATACGCTAAACACCGTTCTTGTTTTCAGGTTAAAGAGATAACCTACGCTCATAAAACATTAGCTTCCTCGTATTACCAGAAATAATTTATGTCGCTCAGTGAAGCCAGCACACTAGACAGGCTCAACAGCGGCACGCATCTCTGACCCTCACTAAACCCGCCATCTTGGAAAATGAGTGGCGCCACCTATGGTTAGTTGGAGTCGCGAATATGGCGGAGCCCACAAGGCACTCGGGGAATGAACTGCCGATACCCTAAGCTTAACTCCTTTGGTGATCTACTCTGTCGTGTATCGCAAATTTTTCATTTAGTAATGTTCCAAACTCAAAAGCATCGTGACACTTTATTTTTTTTTTTTTTTTCGCTTTTATTTGGTTTGGTAGCCGCTCTGGTCGATTTCCTCGAAATAGCGGCTGTTTCTTCGAAGTTCCTTTTCTAAACCATCACAGTCGTAGGGTTCGTGGATTCCGCCGTATTCTCGTGGCAGAAGTTCAGGGGGAATGAACGCGTGCAACTTGTCGTAGTCATCCCCGATGAAGTGAATCTGCAAGAGATACGCATTCGTCTGTATCAACACAAATCTAATGAGCGCTACGAGAAAAAAAAGTTTAGGATGTCTGTTTTATTTCTATTGATAGTTCATGGTGTGTGTATTACATGGTGTCTTCCGGTATTCTCACACTAGGGGAGTGCGAATACTAGCTCGAATCTAATAGCGTTATCTGCGCCATTCATAACCTTCACAGTGGAAGGGAAAGCCACGTCAACCGGTTTTTCTAACCAGGGTAAAGCTAGGGATCACACTGCACTATTCGGTTCAAACCGGCATTCGCAGGTACATTTTTATTTTCTACATATTCGAGCATAGACTGCTAAAAACTGCAAAGCATAGCCTCATGATGAGTTTGACCTTATAGGTAATCGAAAAATCAAACTCTCGGAGATTTCAAATTAGCGACATATTCCGACTATAGTAGCTACTGACCTCCACTAAGGGGCTAGATGGCGCATTGAGCAAATAGCCATGAAGCCACCGGAAGTAAGTGGCTTGCCCCGGAAGTGAGCGTTTGACAGGCTTCCGAACTCTTCCGAGTGCTGGTTTGAACAGCGTCCAGGGCGCTGGATTTTTTCCTGTCATCTTCAAGAGTGCCTGCATGCTTGTTGCGCAGTAACAGCGCATGTCCACCGGAGAAATCTCCTGGGAAGCCATTGGATGTAAAAATTTTGAAATTCTAGTTGATCAGGTGTCCCACGTTCAGATGCCTCCTTTTCGAATTTCATTAAACACGGGATTATTAAAACCAAGTCAAAGACACAAGAAAGCATGAACCAAAACACCGACTGAATGCACTAGGAAGCCCAGCGGGGTCCCAACTTCCGGGACAAGCATCAAACTTCCGGTGGCTTCCCCATTGGCCAGGCACGGACAGCAGCCCTGCGCCGTTAAAAAAGCCGTGAGTGGAGGTTCAATTTGGTGGAAAATCCCTGCGGAGCATCCCCTCCCATCGGCGTCCGGCAGATAACAACTTGACACCCTATCACTCGTTTTAACGTGAGACGTTATTTGGCTAAATGTTCGACATTTCGTGAAACCCACATAAAAGCGTGGCCGCGAAGCACGACACTGATTGGTTGACGGGTGGGAGAGGGGGAGTGAGGTGCTCGACGCTGATTGCTTAACGGGGAGGTCATGTGACCAGAGGGGTAGGCGAGGAGTAGCTCGACCACCTGTGCGCATTGAGAAGAGAAGCTGGAGTGTATGGAAGGTTCTGGAAGATCGCGAGGTTTATCAGCCCGATTAGCTGTAGTATCTCTAGAAACAATCATCAAATGTACACATGATACGCGCTAAACTACCTGATGAAGAACGCCGTGAAGTTAGGAATCTGGAGACTATCGCTAAACGTTTCTGTTGCTAGAGCATCTTACGTATGCAACACAGTTGCCTAGCAATTTGCCATAATTTTTCTACTACCTTTATAGCCCGACTCTGCAGCTTTCCGAGATTACGTATATTATGGTGAAGAGGTTTTGCGTCATTGAGAGCATGTGAAAACAAAATCATGCCTTCCGAATGATATATAGCAAAAGTACACCACATTGGGCCCCGAGAGCTGTTTTGGCAACTTCAAAAAATCAGGGAATGCATCTGAGAAGAAAAGTAGTAACCATCCCTCGTGAGTGAGGGATGTAAGCTGGACTACAGGCTAAACGTTTGTTGGGCCAGGAAGGGAGCACATATTGAGCATTTATAGTTCATCTAAAACTTTCAAAACTTGTAACTAAAATGGTGCTAGTTACAACGGTATAGCTAGCTGTGATCATTTGAAAACAATATTCTCGTAAAGTTTTTTTTGCTTTTCTTGTTTTTGTTTATCCCGAATCTCACATGGATCCGCATCATGGTACGCTGCCCACGAAGAGGAAAATAGCGCCGAAATAACGCAAGGACCAAGGCAAGAGGCACAAGACAAGGCGCACTCTCAACTGAAAATTTATTTGAAAACCTATATATATATATATATATATATATAAACTTGGATTCTTTAATTCATTGGATTCATCGGAGACCACGTACGATGACGTGAAGTGCCCGTGTTGTATATATATATATATATACAACACGGGCACTTCACGTCATCGTACGTGGTCTCCGAGGAGGATATGAACGAATATGTGCAGATGAATGAACCGTACTTAATCCAATGAATTAAAGAATCCAAGTTTTCAGGAACCCGCCGAAAGCCAAAAAACGGCGGAGCCAGGATTTGAACTCTGGGCCTCCCAATGTCCGGTCGGGTGTGCTAACCACTACACCACTCCACTTTTTTTTTTTTCAAGACTTTTTTTTTATTAAAAGTATGTCTATTTACAAAGTTTAAAATGATCACATTGGTTTCCATACACTTATCATGTCAGTGAGCACTGTTTGACAGGCGAGGACCGTGATTCACACACAAATTCAAAATGTATCTCGCTCAATCATTTCTCTGTAGCGTCACATGCACCCCATGCAGCCACTCGCGCAGTGGCCCGGGAATCCTTGTTTACCACTGAGCCTTTAGAGCGCGGTTATGCATACGCGTTCCAAATAGCGACCAACATTCAAGCCCTTGTTGTTCTGTCGCCTCAAGAAGGCTGCTCACGTACAGAAAGCCGCCGCAGAAGTGTTGCCAGGCGGGCTTGGATCCCTCTCGGACCTCCAAGTGATCCGTCCTCGACCGCCACAGCGCATATAGACCGAGGAGTGCCAGCAGCTCCCATGCCCTACTCTGTGCACTGTCGCCGAAAAGCAGAAATTTCGCGCTCTTCCACTCTACGTAAAGATCTATCTGCAGCACTGCTCGAAGCTCTGCCCAAAAAACTCCGCATTCGTACAGTACAAAAACACATGTTCAAGTGTTTCGGGAAACGGACACAACGCACAATTTGTTGACCACGGTTCAAAGAAAGCTTTTTTAACCAGCCACGTCTTGACCGGCAGTACTTCGAAATGGAAGCGTAGGAAAAAATTCTTGACTGCCGTTCTGACAGGGTAGCTACGTAAGCGACGATATACATCCGATTTATCCACACTTCCCGGAAAGCTGCGATAGAGTGGGGGCGGTATGAGCAAATCAACCGTGTCCCAGTATAGAGATTTCTTTTTAACTTTCTGCAGGTACTCGTCGGAAAAGCGGGCTCGGAAAAATTCCTTCGCCGCTGCTGTTTCCTGGTAAAACTTCAGAGCACGTGCTCGGAAGTCTCCAGTGTCCCCCTTGAGCCGCGGCCCCAAAATGCTTCCTCCCAGCTCCTTAAACGCAGAAATCACGAGAGGATTGCCTTGATCGCGGAAAAATAGGAAACGCTGTACTTTCAGCTTAAGTTCTACGTTTACAAGGCCCAACCCTCCTTTCTTCTGGCTTAAAAATAGGTTGTCACGCCTCATACGTTCAAAACCCGAGTCCCAGATAAACGTTCCGAAAAATCGATGCACCTTCGCCACGTCACTTTGGGAGCACGGCAACACTTGTGCCGCGTACCAAACGGTCGGGAAAAAAACAGAGTTACAAATAAATGCGCGATTGAACAAAGAGAGTTCCCTAGCATGCCAGTCAAGCACCTTACTTCTGAGGCGATTAATGTCCAAACCACCGCATCGGCCACTCAGTTTCTCTGCGGTCAAACTGAGCCCTAGGTAATTCGAAACGCTCGTCGTCCAGGTGACACCGAGGAACTGCTCCGGTTTCAAGTCCCAGTCTCCAAGCCAGGCTCCGACAGATTTGTCTGTGTTCATCGCCGCACCCGAGACACTGCAGAAGTCTGCGATGTGTTGGGTTACAGCGCGCACTTGCATCCTTGACGAGCACAACACCGTGACGTCATCTGCGTAGGCGAGCACTTTAAGCGTACCCGACGCTAGGGACAGCCCACGAATGCTCGCGTCACCGATAATGGCCCTGCACAACGGTTCCAGGTACAATGCGAACAGAATTGGCGACATCGGGCACTACACCACTCCACCTTGGCTTTCTGGCGTTTCCTACCTGTCTTATTAATGCACAAGAAACGAAATGTATCCAATCGGAGGTGTTCTGGAAACACACGCCGCCGCGTGGAACGCGGTACGACGCTTAGTGTCACGTGGTACGTGCTCGTTTGTGCTCCAGAAATCCTCCCACTGTTTTTCTCGCCCCGTGTACATGTAGTAGTATTCTTTGTTTATGAGCTTTAGAGACACGGTATCATCATCATCTGCGAGAATCAAGAGCCACGTTATTGAATATACAACACGGGCACTTCACGTCATCGTACGTTGTATATTCAATAACGTGGCTCTTGATTCTCGCAGATGATGATGATACCGTGTCTCTAAAGCTCATAAACAAAGAATACTACTACATGTACACGGGGCGAGACAAACAGTGGGAGGATTTCTGGAGCACAAACGAGCACGTACCACGTGACACTAAGCGTCGTCCCGCGTTCCACGCGGCGGCGTGTGTTTCCAGAACACCTCCGATTGGATACATTTCGTTTATTGTGCATTAATAAGACAGGTAGGAAACGCCAGAAAGCCAAGGTGGAGTGGTGTAGTGGTCAGCACACCCGACCGGACATTGGGAGGCCCAGAGTTCAAATCCTGGCTCCGCCGTTTTTTGGCTTTCGGCGGGTTCCTGAAAACTTGGATTCTTTAATTCATTGGATTAAGTACGGTTCATTCATCTGCACATATTCGTTCATATATATATATATATATATATATATATATATGGGTGTTTGATTATTGATTCTAACAAATTTATTACAAAGGATCCGTAAAAGATACACCGATTCGGTTTGTGCAGGTGAGTCATACGGCCAGAGATACATCATATAGGCTGCCAATCTTCGCGATAAGGCGAATGATGAACTAAAAATTCTTAATTAATTTTTTAATTTGTGAATGTAAGAATATGGTTTCAATTAGAAACTTGTCGAGCATCATCGAAAACCACTAAATCAGTCAATTTTAAAACGACTTGAAGCAGGAGGGAAACGCGGAGGTGCCCCGCTTAGTTGCCGCTCGTGCAATAGGCGCGGAGCTAGCGGAGGGCAAACCCGGATGATTGGATTACCATCCGCGTTTCCCCACCAGTAGATCTGCGCCTGCTGCACGGCTGGTAACTTTGTGGAACTCTCGCAGTACAGTTACCACTCGTCAGTCATCACAGATCCAGTCTTTTGCAGGTCATACGAGATGAATTGCGTTTGACACATCATTTTCAGCCACATTGAACTAGGACATTTTGAATCAGGTTACATTAAACGGCCATTGGTATGTATGTTACGAATAATGGTTTTAAGGGGATGATAAAGTCGAATTTTACGAGTGCAATATTGAAAACTAAACAGGCTTAAAGCATTGGAACGTTATTTAACGAAACCCTCTAATTCCGGAATTTTGTCCGTCGTTAAGTGACGTCACGGTATCACGTGACACCAGGGTTTGACGCTGCGGCGTTATGCCACCTGACCACCTCATGTGACGTCAGATAGCGTGACGTCTGATGACCGACATCGTGACGTCACGTGACATCGTGAACTCGCGTCATCTGACCATATCGGGTGACGTCAGTTCAAACAACGTCAATTTTCTAGCGAAAATTTATCAGCGAAATTGAGAGGGAAATTTCATGTCGTAACAATGAATAAACAATATGTTCTTCCCTAGAATCGGCACGACTGCCTAATGCCATCTAAATAAATTTAAGCAATCTACAAATCGACCTATAAATATTTTTATCTATTTTCTTTCGTGAAAGTATTCCGGATGTGCTTTTTTATTTATTTTAGTAAGTTGAATTGCACTGTAGGAATGATTCTAATCCGTAATTACAAAGCCTAGAATATTACCTCAGGGTTTTCCACAGGAAGTAACGCTAACTACGTATGTGACTCAAAAGGCACTAATTCGTGACATGCATGAAAATGCATCAAACAAGAATGATAAAAGAAAAAAAAAAGAAATCATCATTGTGCAGGCGAGCTGGTGCGTATAACTTATGATGTTTAAACCCCGAGTATAGGAGGGAAACTTGCTAATATATTAGAAGAAACTGAAGATAGGAGACAGATAAGCGTCTCAAACAGAGCTGAATTTGAGACGCATGTCTGTCGCCTTTCTTCGGTCTCTTCTAATATATCTGCAAGTTTCCTTCCAAGCCTTAGGGTGAAAATATCATAATTAATAAGCAAGACAACATTTACCCTAACAAGCTATCACGATGTGGCGGATAAAGTAGCTATGTTTTCGTGTCTCAACGGACACTTACCCTTTCCACAATCTTGGTCTTCAAGAATGGTCTGGCAACAGCGTAGAGGAGCTCGAAAAGAGGGGGATTGTCGACGATGTAGACCCCCTTCACCCGAAGCGGATAACATTCCTTGAAGACCGAGAGAGATAACATGTTACAAAATTTCCTGAGATTTCCATAGGTTGTACGCCACCGCCTAGGATAATCAAAGCCTCTGGACAACCTCCTCCACTTCCATGTGATGTCATCACGCTCGGATGGCGCCTAATCGACAACTGGGCCCGAGCCGGACGCCGAGCGTCCATCGATGCGCTGATTGGACACGGGGCCCGGCCGAAGGCTGACGTAGCACTCGGGACCAATCCGCTTCTGCGCTCAACTTCACATTGATGACGTCAAAATGCTAGTTGACGGCCTTTTGTTATTCTAGGTGGCGTTGGGCTCAACATCAGTTTAGCTCTCGTCTGATGTGGTGACCTACTCTGCAACTTTTTAGCGCACTCATTTGGTTTACTGGGCGTCATATATTTTATTTTCTTAGTCTAAAATGCGAAATGCAGGCTATCTTCGTTATCGCTTTTAATCCACCAAATGTTTGTTGAAGTTTCATAAAAACTGACCCGTTGTGTTCACTCTAGTTGCGCCCTATCACAATGGCTACAAATATCCGTGATATCCTTAAAAGCACTGCTTCTGTCTATTACCCTGACTTGCTTGTTCCCCGACGTTGGGGCACATGATTTTCTTCCCCCCACTAACAAATGAAAAGATTCTCAGTTCTGTAAGCAAGTTTATCACCTTCAAATGCGCATCAAAGCATGACGGACAATGAGTTCTGCAAACTTCGTGCCTGTAAAAAGTCACAACTGCTGCGAAAGCAGTAGTATTGCTGTTGCAGGCGATGTAGCTGAAAAAAAAAGTGAAAGCCCTGTAACGCCGAATTAGAGCGCAGCTCTTGAGGAGGAGGATGGAAGAGTACTGAGGGGAGGGTATATCCCTCCTCCTCCTTCTCCTCCTCCTCCCTTCATTCTTCAATCTCTGCTGGGGGGGTCACGTGACCTTGAAGGGGGTCACGTGACCTCGAAGGGAGGGGGAAGGGTCGCGTGACCTCGGGAAGGCGGGGGGGGGGGGGGGGGGGGGGGGGGGGGGGTCTCGCGCGGTGCATTATGGGACATTTCCCATAATGCACCGCGCGGTTACGCCGACGCCGACGCCGCTCAAGCCGGAAACAGGCGCCTAAGAGCTGCGCTCTAAAAGAAATTGAGAAAGTCGTTGGTGTAGCCTCATAGGCCCGTGAAACCAGCGTACGAGTGTCGTTGCAGCCTCTGCAGCAACAAGTTTGACGACAGCGACACTGGCGTTCGCTCGTCGCTTTTGCCGAAACTTCTACGACCGACAGCCATGATCGTGACATCTGACAGCACGAGAAGCCGGCTCCTGCGACTTTCTTTTGTTGCCATCACTTTTGATGCGTGGGTGGTATGGGACGTTAAACAAACCAGCCCTTTAAACTTATGCTAGGTGGCGCAAGCTGCCGCCCGTTACAAAGAGCATAGCCATTAACTTCCATCTAACATTTATCCAGAGACGCGCTCCAGGCACCGTATTCACAACTCCAAATGAGGGAGGTAATCTGGAAATCGTCCATACCTGAACAATGTGGATCAGCCTCTTGATGAACAGGGGCGTGTAGTGACGAACATGATGCAAGTAAAGGCCCTTGATGTCTACGACTGCCACCACACCCGCCACCTGGATTTGAGGATCGCGCAGGACGTGCTCCCCTATCAGCAGTGCAGCCCTGACGAAGTCGTTCAACGGGCATATATATTGCTGTTCCAAGCATATGAAATATGGTAAAGAAACTACAGTCTGGATGACACGTGCATTGCACAGCATTGGGTGCCTCAAAAAGAACAGGGGCCCTAATCTGGACGCTTGGCGAAAAAGTCGGCGAGAAATCTCGCGGCTCTGATTGGCCGGCGCCAAGGTCAAGTGCGGCGTTGGCCAATCACGCCCGCTAAATTTCTCGCCGAGTTTCTCATTAGGGCCCCAGAACGGTATACGGCCTGCGAGTTCGTCTGGTCTTTGCGTACCTTGTGCGTCTGTTCACCCCCAAACGCTCCACATGCTTTTGTTTACACAAACGCACGAGGTGCGCAAAAAGCAGACGAACCTTCACGCCGTATTGCTGTTCGATGTGAGTAACTGACAAAACCACGACCGGCGCCGCATTTGCTTCTGCTTATTTAGTACTTTCTCTAGTTTGCTGAACCGCCATCGCGTTTTCTGGCGCTGTAGCTCACCACACTAGCAAACGCTTTCGCGTGTGTATCTGTGTGTGTCCGCTGCACAACCGGCGACGTTTTGAGAATAATCGGCTGCATTTTAAGGACTTTTCTCATCGTTATTGCGATTGTACGTTCGCTAAAGAGCTAGAAGCTGGTCTAGATCGCATTCTTCTCTTGTCAAAAGATAACAAACTTTCCCTAAACTTAAACCAAATGAGCTACCATGCACATCACTGCTTCGCGTTAACTTTTGACCCCTCCAACACTTTTCCTGAACCAAGTGGAGATCCCAAGAACAAAGCATATCCACTTCCTAGATGTCGTCATCGACCAGCATTTCAATTTCCATCGCCCCGTCCAGAACGTCGTGTCCGGGGAAAGGAAACTCCTTGGCTTCGTCCTTCGGTCCACAAGAAGAGCCAGTCCCGATGTGTCCGGATTGCTGTTCAAAGCAGGCACGTAGCCAGGATTTTGTTTCGGGGGGGAAGGGGGGGGGGGGGGGATGCTGTATGAGGGGGAGGGGGGAGAGGACGTCCCAGCAAAATGGAAGATTTTTCTTTTTTTTCTTGGGGGGGGGGGGGGGGGGGGAGGGGGGGCTACGTGCCTGGTTCACATAAAGTCCCTCGATGTTTTTTCACTGCGTTTTCACCGTCTTTTGAGTTATATATATAATCGCACGACAAGAGCTGAAATAAACAAAAATGTCTGCACAATGCATGTGCTTCGTGTTGTGTTGTCCTTCCTTCCCCCCAGTCTCGGGGGTTTTGTCTACAAAAATATCTACGTGGATGTTACAGTGGAAGCTAGGCAGAAAAAAGTAGACAGAGACATTAAACACGTTCATAACGAATTCCTTGAACGCGATCTAATAAAATTGGTCTTGGATTCACCGTTTAATGTGGCAAAATAATAAAAGTTGTACGCAACATCTCTTCACTGCACGCTGAAGGTATGCTATCCAGCAATCAAAAACAGCGAAAGTTGCCAGCTAGAATCTTTCACAGAGTTATTTGAGACCAAACACGGCTCCGCAGTAGAGGTTCGAGGACGAGATTGCCCGTTATCGCATGTGGGGATAACACGTGCGATGGTGTAACTTCACGCAAAATATTGTTTGGGACTGGTGAGTTAAGTGCTGTAAATTCATCCGCACCGATCTCGCACCGTCCAAACTCGTCAAGGTCACTACTTTGCACGACGTTTGTTTTCGATCCAAACACTGCTACTAGTACTTATAACAAAATGCGTGTTGAAGTCACGTAGATACACCCCAAAATAATAAGTTCCAGACGCGTTTGCGTCTATACCGTGCACACGTTTGCGTAGCATTACCAACGCTCGCCAGGAGGGACAATGGTTGCAAACAAAATAGAGTTCTCACAAAAGCTTAACCATGCGGCTCTATCGACGACGGAAGGAAATTTTCACAAGGCATTTGTCTTTATTACAAATATAAATAGTTTATTGTAACGCTGGCGCGCACATATCTAGCATCGCCGAGAGCATTGCTCGCGAAAGCTCTCGCTGCGGTATGATAGCCATTGCGGCAAAATATTGACATATATATATATATATGGGTGGTTTCATCTCAAATCGTGCAGGCAAAAAGGGTCGAATTTTTAATTTCGATGAAAAAAATATATGTTATGGCGCCGTTTCTAAAACCGCAGTCGACACAAACCGCAAGTTCGTCGGATTTTTTGTTCTCGACTTATGAATTTTTAAAGAGGCCGCGGCGAAAAGCAGTGTTTTTCACACCCGTCGTGGGTCGGATATTTCGCTTGATCTCCCGCCATGGATTTTCAGTCCACATTATATTATCTTTTTTGAAGCACTCTGTGGACACATTTAAAAGGCTCCAATACCATGAAATAATTTTAGGCCTTTTGCTTTTTTTCTGTAAAAATGTCAAAAACGCCTCCTCGGTCAATTGTTGACGAACTTTGACAATTAATTACTGGCGATCTACTTGGGTTACACCGATATTTTTTATGTCCACGGAGAGCCCAAAACACGCTCTTTATATTTATTATAAAGTTCCTTGGCTGTATAAAATATCCTTTGCGGTACGTTTACGTTAATATTATGAAAAAACCAAAAAGTACCATTTTTGAAATTGATTTTCTAAAAAAACCCATTTTTTATTTTTTTTTATTTTTTGTTAAAATGTAGATATGATAGTTGTATACACGAAAATTAAGCCTAGAAAGTGTATATTTTGTTTGTATATTCTACATTTAAGCATCAATATCGTACAAAAACGTGTTTTTACGGCTCGAAATGGACTTGCGAATTCCTGGTCTTCACAAGCTTAGAAATAGTTTTTTCTTTTTTTCAACGTTCCCACATAAAAATGAAAGACAGTATTTCCACCCTGATATATTTATTGATTATTTAAATTTTATTATAGGCGGCAAGCTACATCGGAGGAGTTCCAAAAAGAGAAAGCAACACTTCTTAACAGACCAGCAGGTGTCGTAAATTTTTAACGCGTAGGAGTCGGCAGACGTCTTATTGATTCGGGGCCCTCATTGGCCTGCATGAACGTCCCGCCCTTTCGGAGCCAGCAGATGACCACGACCTTTCGCGCTCGTTGTGTTAGATGGGACGGCCCGTGACAGTAAAGCGAGCAGCGCACCCTGTGTGACGAGGAGTGAAATGGTACGATTGTGTCGTTGACGTGGCGAACAGTGACAGCCACCCAGGAGGAGTCTGTCAGAGTATTGCACAAGGAAAAGCAAAGGAATCGTTGCCTGAAAGGATGAGGACACCACGGCCTTACAATGTCGACGGTCAACAACTGTTCTGCCAGCCAAAACAACGCCGCGTGCGCGCTAAAACCGGCGGCGCGGACAGAAATCCCGCAGACGCACACACGAAGATGGGCCGGTTTCGTTAAGGATGTGGGGAAATTCGAAAGCAGCCATCCGTGCATGCGTGAAACGATACCGCCTGTTTGCCCTAGCTTCGAGCGCCCTATCCTTACCTTGAAACGGCCGTGCTCTCTTTCTCTCTCTCTCTCTCTCCGGGGAGATCCGATAGCACCGAAGGGTCATCTATTAAACTTGAGGAAGAAAACGAGAAGGGAGTGTTTAAGTTTAATTATCCCCACCAACCCGCTCGTTCTGTCCTTATAAAGGGTTATCTCTTTTGGAAACAGCAAAGCCCGGAGACTGACATTAAAACGAGCGTGTTGGTAAATATACTTGTGTTTGTATTCTGCCCGGAGACTAGTTGGGTCGAAGTCAGCCTCCTTGTCAACTATAACCGCTTGTGAAGAGTGGGCTTCTCCCGAGATGAAACGTTAGCGCCGGCTGACGTGTTCTTTTGAAAAAGGGAAGGGGAAAGAGAAAGTTTGAGTAACTGCAGAAACTACCTCGAAAGCTCCTCTCCCGATAAGAAGCTTGAAGCATTGTCTCGGTTACCTTCTCGCGCATCGCCTGCTCGAATCTATTCTTCACTTTCTGTCGTACAGCCACGGTTCCGCACAGCCGTCGTGGATGTGCGTAATAGAGGGAGGAACAGATTCGAGCATCATCTGGACGCCGTCATCCTGCCAGACTTCAATGTCGTGGAACCGACTCGTGTGTGTTTCTTCGCCCCGCTGAACTTTGTTTCTCGGGTGCAATTTTTTCTGAACGTTTTTTTTTTTTTCAATGTTTTCTTACTAACTGTTTGTTAGCACTGTTCAGTTGTTTAGTTTATTTCGTCATGGCGTAGCGGCCTGGCGGTGATGTAGAGAGCGTGTTCGCACGCATTTGGTTGCGTCCCGTTTAGGAAATGCCCGGGGGAGCTGGTTATTGTTCTTGCCATGTGCGGCTGAGTTTTCCCGTCTTTATTAAATTATTGTTTTTTTTTTTTTTTTTTTTTTACCTTTACGTGCCGTCGATTTCTTTGTCTGACTCTCCACCGCTCGAACCTAAATGCTTTTTTTTTTTTACGCAATTTTCGTTAAGATCGGAGTTGGGCAATTTAATTCCTATTTATTTATTTTTATTTCCTACCCCTCTCCATGACACACTCTCTGTGTGTTTCGGACCGTTTCTGTGTCACCACTTTTGTGTATTACGGAAGTGAAAGGACATTCCCTGGTGACCTGTGCGATGTGCGGTGAACAAGCCCCAGTGTTTGGTTTCGTAAAGAATTGTATATAATATATCGACGATGTGGTGACTTTCTTTGTCTTAGTAATATGACAGCTAATAGCTAGTCGTGCTAGTTTACTTTGAAAGGTTTATAAATTGAAACAATACAACGTCTGTGCCTTTTGGTTATTGAAAGTCTACTAGGCCTGCTGATTTGGTTAGATATGTATCTCATGGTTCCCGCTCTTATCAAAACATACATAAATATTCAATACCACAAAATCCGTTTATAATTGATTACAAAATGTAGAAGAAAATTCAAGAAAACTTTTTCACAATTCATAGAGACGCATGGGTCGCTATGTCTGACTTAGGTCTTGCAAAACAAAGACGTTTTTTTCCGATATTGAGGCCTAAATATAAAACATGCAAACAAGATATACACTTTCTAGGCTTAATTTTCGTGTAGACAACTATCATATCTACATTTTAACAAAAAATAAAAAAAATAAAAAATGGGTTTTTTGAGAAAATCAATTTCAAAAATGGTACTTTTTGGTTTTTGCATAATATTAACGTAAACGTACCGCAAAGGATATTTTATACAACCAAGGCATTTTATAATAAATATAAAGAGCGTGTTATGGGCTCTCCGTGGACATAAAAAATATCGGTGTAACCCAAGTAGATCGCCAGTAATTAATTGTCAAAGTTCGTCAACAATTGACCGAGGAGGCGTTTTTGACATTTTTACAGAAAAAACGCAAAAGGCCTAAAATTATTTCATGGTATTGGAGCCTTTTAAATGTGTCCACAGAGTGCTTCAAAAAAGATAATATAATGTGGACTGAAAATCCATGGCGGGAGATCAAGCGAAACATCCGACCCACGACGGGTGTGAAAAACACTGCTTTTCGCCGCGGCCTCTTTAAAAATTCATAAGTCGAGAACAAAAAATCCGACGAACTTGCGGTTTGTGTCGACTGCGGTTTTAAAAACGGCGCCATAACATATATTTTTTTTATCGAAATTAAAAATCCGACCCTTTTTGCCTGCACGATTTGAGATGAAACCACCCATATATATATATATATATATGTGCTTTTGCGGAAATAATAGCTCTTCGATTCACGTAGGTAACCCGATAATATCCAGATTAATTTCACGCGCTGGAAATTACCAAAACAAGGAAGACTACGCTACTGCTAACCACATAACAACACAGCGGAACCGCCCTCCCGTCTGACGTTAGGAAGCGAATGGCAGCGCTAGCATAGAGTAATATACACAAGGTAAAGAGCGGACACTACCATAGGCCCCAGCGGCCCAGATAGACCAGTGACAGGTAGCGCTCCTAGCGGGCGGTATTATGCATAATCTGATTCCGTTTCCGGTCAAGTTAGTTTCGGTTTCGGTTTGGGCGTTTTTGCTCCGGTTCTCCAATACCCTTCTCTCTCTCTTTCCTCCCCGCCTCGCTCGGCTCTCGGGAGCACCTTGACTCCCGAAGCCGCTGTTTTTTTTGTTTTTTTTTAATACTGACACACTTTGCTTTATTTTTTACGATAGAGTCCGTGCAAAATGTGTCAAACAATATTTCAACTTACTTCACAAAGCAGAAGTATATATATTTCTTGTTCTTTTTCTATTGTAAAGCATTGAAGTTACACAATCACCGCATTGACTCCTGGCTGGTGGAGCATTTTGGGGTCAACAACAGTAAGTGGTTCGAACACATTTTATTGGACCACATTCATGTACACATGATTTACTTCAGAAGCTCCGAATGTTTTATACGGAAGAGATCGATACTCACAAAAATAAATGAATATGAAGGACTTCGGCATTTGTACACTTCGTAATAGATTCTTAGCGGAACCAAGTTAACAAAACCCTTCCACGGAGAACATGCTGTATGATACATTCACTTTCACGCCGACTCGGGTACGGGAAGTAAGTGCAAAAATAAATAAGAAGTCGCTATCATTACCAGTCATAAGAGTATAATAACAGTGCGAAGCACACGCCGGATAGTACAAATTCCCGATTTCCGGCAAATATAAAAAAAAACACCAATTTGCATAGCCTCAAACTCACTGCGGGCGAGCCATTACCAAACAATGAGAACTCTATTCGAAATCTGACAAGATTCAACGTCAATAAATATTCCCCGAAATTGTTCAGAAAAGAAATATGGCTTCAGAAAAAAGCGGCTAAAAAACTATGGACAGTGGATACAAAAGTGTATACATTTTCTTTCAGATATTGTTAGCCTCTATAGACTATTTTCTATCGAATTTTTTTAGAAAGTGGATAAATATTTTTGTTAGGGAGCCGTGATACACATTCGCTGGAAAAAGGGGAAACAAACATTTGGAGGGCAAGCTGCACCGCCCACTTAATCACTTTTTGTTTTTGGTTTGGCAACCGCCTCTGTTAATACGCTATTAACAGTTGAACCTCTCTCGTTCTTACTAGCCACTGAAGAGTGCAACCGAACTTTGTCCGAATTCCGGTTAAGAAATCAAACATGTCAACACAAGCGTATTCTGCAAAATAATTTAAAAAACCCTTGTACTCCTCTGGGCAAAGGCGAAAGCCATCCAGACCTCAAAGTGTGCTATACAAGGCGGCACACACTCCTCGAACATGTGTCACACTCTCTATTATGGGAAGAAAGTGATTTTATAGTTGTTGAATGAAATGAAAGGCAGCCTGTGATGGTACTACTAAGTTCCCAAAGAATTTTCCAGGCACGTGGTATGCTTTAGGAACAAGACAGTACTGGTGAGGCCTGGTCAAGTTATTAGACTCATCCGATAGCAGCTGAGAACAGCCACAGCTGTAAGTTGTCTGTTCAAGCAAAAGCTTGATCAAATAGCCCCAAACGTAATAAAAACATGGACGAGTCATCAATTATGTTAGACCTGATGTCTGATGCCAGCTCAGAAATATCCTCTAGTGGCGGGAAGTTATCAATTGGAAGACATTCCACAATGTCTGTAATTAAACTTTCATGGTGCGAAGATATTTGCAACTCCTTTAGGAGGTCAGCCTTGCCATCTTCTACGTTTTCATTGTCCGACAGTTTGGCCAGTTTCTTTATCCAGAGGTGTTTTAGTCCTGAGGTGAACTGATGCACATTTGGGTTTGTGTTGCAGCCCAGCATTTGTCGCATATAGCTCCAAAAACGTTCTCAAGTGTGTCTTGCTGCAGGCGTCGTGTAAGTAAGAACTTAAAGTCATGGCTGCTTGAAAGCTCATCCCAAAGCTTGAGGACACTTTTTATAGTAACTTGCCACTCAATGATGGCTTATGGCTGCCTCCTACTTTGGAACTGCCATGCTGAAATCCATCCGAGCTACTGGTGGAGAAAATCAAGTATTTGAGATTCTCCCTTCAGAATGGCATGACGCAACTTGTGCCCTGTCTTCTTGAGTTTTTTTTAGCTATTTAGACAATCAAAAAGTATGCACATCCTATCACAGAAATAGGCTGTAGCCATGGCTGCCTCAGGAAGTTCCTTTGCATAAACAAAAGATATGATTACAAGAAATATTGAGGCACTCAGTACCTGTGGGGCAAAATTTTCTTCCATGTTACAGAAAGGTTTTTGAATAAATGTGTCTCTCAGTAAGTTTCGGAGTCAATTGCAAGCTAATCTCATGGATAGAATAATGAAGTTCAACAATAGAAGACCGCTCAATGACCTCATTTCCAATGCAAAGTTTGTGGGCTTGGAGATTGCTCTTGGTTGTTTTGGGAAGGTGCGGAACATCAAAGACAAAGTAAACGTGTTCGTTGTCAACTTAAAAAAAAATGGCTTATCACCACACACACCAAGCTTACGTTTGAAGCCCCCTAACCACAGACCACAGCCTTTACTGTGAAGCCAACAGTCTTAAAGGGGCGATGCACTGATATTTGTATTTTGCGCAAATACCGCTTAGAAGGAATCCCTGACGTCAATGGTCCGTAAAATATACCCGTTCGTTTTCACCACACTCAATCGAAGTCGCAGAAAAAAAATAAAGTAAAACGAGCAGAGTTCACCCCCTCACCTCGCAGCCAGAACAAGCGGCCCCGTGATCTGGAGCCGATTATATGCCGCCAATGTTGATCATATTCATGCGCTGGGGTTGGCTAGGCACAGGACACGCGCTGAGTTCCAGACATTGTTATGGTTCGGCTGTTGTCGTCATTGCAGCGATTTGACACAGGACACTACCCGAAGGCTTCTCGAGCTATCGATTATCACGAGCCCAAATCGAGTGTCCACGCCATGCTCGGGTCTAATCTATGAGCCGTATTCAAATATCGTCACTGGGCGGTACTGCTACCGTTCAGCTATGTCATCAGGTTTTTCGAAGGAGAGATTGAATAAAACACTGGGTTTTGTCCTCGAAATTACAGCGCAACAGAGGAGTTTCTTGGTCAGTGGCGTTGCGTGCGAGTATCCTTGAGTCCCACTAGTGCCAGTAAGCTCGTGTAAAGTGAAAAACATTCCAATTGAATATCATTGCAATGCCCCTTTAAGCTCCCGAATGAGAGAAATGAGGAGACTGCGTTAAACAGAAGACGTTGTTGGAGTGTGCACAACAGTGTGTGCAAACGCACCTCCTGGAATTTTCAGACAGCATAACAACCAAGGCTCTATCTGCAATGTTAGAGGTTCGTTCAACACCGTCATCTGTAAACCCATGGACAATGTCGTGTGCAGGTCGTAAGTTAAATTCTTTTTTTAAAACAATCTCATCGAAAATCAACATGCACACACGTTCAAGTGCAGCCAGACAGCCCGGCAGAAACAACAGCGCGAGAAGCTCGAACCGATCGGCTCCACGAATTCACGCCGAGCATGCGAGCACGCGGGCGGTCATGCGTCACCTTGATTGATGCAAAGTCGACCGAACATGATGCAGCAGAAAGCACAGATGGACGGCACGCACGGCACAGACGAACGACGCAGGGACGAGCAGAGGCCAAGCAGAGTGATGCAGAGGCGACGGCGTACAGGCAGGCAGGCCATGGCAGGCGCCATTCATCACGTGGTTTTTGTGACGTATTTGATTTAATCTATTTAGTCGTTTTAAGGACTTTAAACAATTTTAAAGCATTTCCATTTAAAAAATAAATACTTTTCACAGAAAGAGTTTTAATTAATTTTAACCAAATTGTAGAAAAGCGCCACGTAGCGGAGGGTATGAAACGCACCATCTGGGTCGCGAATCGGCTCCTGTGTCCTCTCTTTACGTTTACTATATTACTCTATGGCGCTAGAGAGGGAGAGGAAAAAATTTTGGGGGAAAGAGGAATCGTAGGTGGAAAGGAGGAAAGTTGTCGCTACCTTTAAAAACGAAAAAATATCCAGGACGTTACTTCGTTGAAGGATGCATCTCGGCTGCGCGAACTCTCGATCAGCAGGAGCAATTGTCGAAGATAAAGCTACGAGCTCGGAATTCTTACCTTAAAAATATATCACAAAAGACAAGTATTTGGTCAGAGTGTCGTCATAAAAATTGTCAGGAAAACAAGAACTCTCAAATTATCTGATTCTTTTTCTAGAGACATGTTGAGATTGCTTAGTTCCCGAGGGAAATAAGCAACGGGAACAACAATGTGCTTGCTCTCTAGGTCTATTAAAAATGCAGCACCTTGGCGGGCGGTGTCGTTGTAATTCTTATCGCACCAGGTGAGAGCTCAAAGTAGTCCGATAAACAAATGAAATCTAAAGATTTTACTGGCAAAACTGTGAGTTTACAAAAAGCATGGAGCACGAGGTCTCTTCTTTTTAAAACATTCTCAACCCCCCCCCCCCCTTCTCACGTTGGCCCTCGACCTTTCCGGTGTGGGCTATCTGGCCCCCACAACCAAATGAGCTTGAGACCACTGCTGGCTGTCTTGCTCCGCACACAAAGGCCCATTCACACACTTGCGTTCCGAGCGACCACTACGCTTACGAACGAATGCAACCGGTTGCAACAACGAGTTGACATAGCAACGAAGAGTTGCCATAGCAACGAAGCGCCAAACGGCCGTTTCGTTACCGCACCGACAGACCAATCACGGGTCGAGGAGAGCGCGGCAGCGCGCGTTGTATGCCAATCGTGCCGGTCGCGGTTCCTTCTATCTGCAAACATGGCGTCGGTGGTGATCGTCGACGTGGTCGGCGTGGAGGAAGCTCAAGCCTGGTTCAGACATCTGCAACGAGCGCGTTATCTACGACTGCGTGCATTGTGACCGGAGCGACCGGAACGACCGCTCTGCGCAGCGCGTACACACACCTGCAACAAGCACAGCGGGTCATCAGCACGGCGATAGCTTCTACTCCACCGTCAGCAGTTTCAGCGGTGCGTCTAAAAAGAAGGGGACGCGCTGCCACTCACTGGCGTAAGGGAAAAAAGACAGACCGTTTCCTATAGCCTCAAACATCATTCTTTCTTTTTTTTTCAGGATAGGCTTGCAGGGTAGAGTGGATTAAAAAAGAAAGGGAAAAGATCCAGTACGCCGCCTTGGACGATCACGACTTTAATACACGAATTTGCCAAAAAGTAGAAATCTCGCCACACGCGTTTTGTACGATTACAAAAGACGATGCGATCTAAGCAGCGATATAGCAAAGTAGAAATATAATTTTGTGATCAGATAGATGTTGCGAGCGTTCAGGATTGCTAACACTAATCACTTTTCTCGGTGATGAAAACGCGTGAAAATTCGCTTCTTAGGGTACACTCTAAAAAGAAAAAAAAAAGAGGGTATCACCTTACATCCTTTGTCTCATATAATACATCCCAAAACTTCAATTCGACGTACAGTGCCATATAGTCGAACAGACGGCCCCAAATTTCACGAGTGGCTTGATAACGGTGCGATATAACTGATAAAATAGCTAAAGTACGCATCAAAGACCACATAAAGAAAACAACGAGTTTTTACAGTAGGGCCAAGAAAACCCGGATTATTGTTTCTTGTAGTCATTAACACGTACATTAGCTATTTGAATAAGTAGTGCCACACGGCTATCAAGCCTCTCGTGAAAGTTAGTACCATCGGATCGACGTCACTACGTTGTACGTCGAACTGAAATTTTGAGGTGTATTATATGGGACAAAGGGTGTATGAATACACCCTTTTTTATAGAGTGTACGCACCAGTAATACCTTGAACTTGAGCACACGCATGGAATATACGTAAAATAAGAAATCTGGACGTTGTTCGAGGACACAAATGTTAAAAAAAAGCAGCACTGTAGTCGAAGTAAACAAACACCTCTCAACTCGTACATCGTCTTCCGGGTCACGTGCGCAGTGACGTCGATAGAATAGGCGCGGGGTTCCGGAAAAGTTCTCTCTTTAGAGCCATCAGTGAGCAGCGAGAACTCATCCGCTCGCGACCGCGTGACCACGTGCTGGCGGGCGCCCCGCGAAATATACGGTGAAAGGAGGAAGGTCTCATCCGGGTCCGGCCATACCCGTCCGGCTCTCTCAAGGAGGTCGGGGAGGTCTCGGCTAGAGCCAAGCTAGAGCCGAGCAGAGTACCGCAATCGAGAACGCCATCTCTCGGCGGGTAGCGGCGAACGTCCGAGGGTTCCAATTCCGGTCACAAATGCAAGGGGAACGTGAGAATATCGCTGTTTCTCGAATATTTTGGGGATGTACGGAACGACAATAGTTTCTGACATAATAAAGGAACAATTTACAATAATTTGCACTTAGTTGTGTGCCATGTAATAACGTAATTTGTTTTTAAAGAATGCTCGAGCGGCATCACGCAGCAGACGACGCGGCGACGTCACACCGTTCACGTGACCCGCTCCGGCCAACCCCAAAAAGTCCATCTCCGCTGCGCAAAACAATCGTCTGCTTCAAACGCCATTGCCTTGGAAATTGCCCTCTCACAATTTTCACACGCATCCAATATTATTAAAACGTTGATAAAGTGTTTAGTGCTCTACCAACTTCACGACAGACTAGTTTCGAAAAGTGTGAACTTGGCGTTTATTTTTTGATCAGCCGTGTTGTGTCGATCTCCATGTATTCTCCCATAGACCGGGCCGCCTCTTGGAACCCTGAGTACCACGTGACTCGCGCCGAGCTGCTCTGTCGGCCATGTTGTCGGCGAAACACGCGGATCAAAGGATTGCGCTACTCTGCTCCGAAGGAGCTATATAGTGCTCTGGTCTCGGCTATCGGGCGGTAAATGATGATATTGATGATGGTTGTTCTACATACCGAATTAATTGTTGTGGAAATGCGCGAGACACGTGCCGCGCGCCACTTCTAAGAATAGCATGGCGTCTAAACTCTAGCTCAGTGGTGCGCTAAATGCTTTGCTGCGCTGTGCCGCCATGATCTTCCCAAGGGCTGCAGGTTGCACGTTCCTCGTGCATCGACGCACCTTGCGCTACTTTTGAAACAGTGAGTGAGTGAAACATGTCTTTAATATGGAAAGGAGGATCGCCTGCCTTGGCCGAGTAGGTCTTAAGCAGGAGGGGTAGGGTTATTTGGGTTGGAGGGGGGGGGGGGGGGAGTATGATGATGAATAGGTGAGGTTATATGAGGTTATGTGTCCCTGATTTTCTGATGTAATCCATCAGGGAGTCGAGGAGCGCTTTGCGGTGTTGTGGCGAGCCTCTGGGTCGGGCCCATTCGTCTAGCGTCCTCGGTCGGTCTTCCTCACGGAGAACCTTGAGGGCTTCTTGTCTGTGTCTATCTAGACCCTTGCAGTTCCAAAGAAGGTGCTGGAGTGTCGCCATGTTGTTCCCCGTGCAGGTCTTGCACTTTGCTTCTTCTGGTTCCAGCAAGCCAAAGCTCGCCAGTTTCGCTGGAGTGCACGCCGTCTTGGTCCTGACACGACGAACCCGGACGGCAGCCCATCGGCTGTAGCCTGCTGGTATCTCGTCTTCTTGTGGCGGTAGGAGACCCCTGAGGTAGGCCTTCCTCGCCTGCCTGTCGAGTTCGGCCTGCTCCTCCGGATCTACCGTCTCGTGCCTGCCGGATGGAGAGGTCGGGCCAAGCGTGGAGCTATAATGTGCTGCCTCCACTGCGGCCCTGTGTGCCCTCTCGTTCCCGGCTATTCCACTGTGTCCAGGAAGCCACGTTATGTACAACTCGGTGCCCCTTTCTCGAAGCTCCGTCGCCATCTTTTTTATCTTTTTAGTCGTGCGGCCTTTGGCCCTGCTGCATCTGGTTGCGATGATCGCCTCCTGAGAATCCGTAAAAATTATGGCTTTACTGGCCGTTACTGAGATGCTCAGGATGTCTTCGATCGCCGCAAGAATCGCCCTGAGCTCGGCTTCTTTGACGGATGTGCCCTCCGGTAGCGCTTCGGCCCACCCCTTGTTCCTTCTTTGGTCGTGCCATGCTGCTGCTGAGGCTCCCTCGGTCCGTGCTGCGTCGGTATAGCGTATCTCGTCGCCCCTTCCATGTTCCTCGCACCAAGCTGCATGTAGTCTAGCAGCCCTCGCCCTCTTCCCTCCGTTTAGGGCTTTAGGGAGTGGCCGATGGTCTGTGATTGGCTCATCTTGCCACGGTGGAAGGGGCTCTTCAAGTGGGGGTTTGTTCCTTATGTCGTACCCCAAATCCTCTAGAAGTCGACGACCTTGCCTGGTCCGCTCCAGTCGTTGAAATTGAGCGATGTTTTGTGCGTCGGCTCTGTCCTCAATACGGCTCATCTGAGCTTCTTGGCGCAGATCTTCGAGTGGCGTGAAGTTGGGAAGACCTGTGATCAACCTCATGGATCGGTGATTTAATCTTTCTAGCTTTTTCCACTGCCCGCGGGTGAGATTTAGCCAGTTGCAGCTATATAGAGCTCTCGACGTGAGTAGGGCTTCCGCCAGGATACGAAGAGCCTTCTCGTCGGCGCCCCATGACTTGTTGGTTGTTTTTCTAATGAGCTTCAAGCCCTGAACCCAGTTTTTTTCTATATCTGGGAGCCATTTCGAACTTCTCGCCGTTTCCTCGAAGGTGACTCCGAGGATTTTGATATGTTGTTTTCTGCCAATCTCTTGCCCGTTTATCTCAAGTCGTATCGAGTTGGCGATTCCTTTCCGATGGTCTCGGGGCCTGGCTACTACCATGTATTGCGTCTTCTCAGGGGACGCTTCCATTCCGAACTCCTTGAGATACTCCAGGACTTGTTCTATGCCGCGTTGCATCGTCCATTCCTGCTCACCTAGGGATCCGCCGCGGGTCCAGAGCGTCACGTCGTCAGCGTAGACGGTGAAACCTAGTCCTTCAATCGTACGAAGTCGGGTTGGAAGACCCGCCATCACCATGTTGAAGAGGACCGGCGATATCACCGCCCCTGCGGTACTCCTCTGCAGTTCGGCGTCTGGGGACCTTTGGTGTCTCCTATTTTCACCTGGAAGTTTCTATTGCGTAGGAAGTCCTCTATGAAATTCAGTGCCTTGCCTCGAATGCCGCATGCCTTGGCTCCTCTAGCGACAGCCCAATGAGGGACAGCGTCAAAAGCCTTCCGGATGTCGAGAGCAACGACAAGTCGCGGATCTTGCTTATTCTTTTCGGCCATAACCTCTTCGTAGAAAAGTTTGAGGCTGTCATGGGTACCCATTGCCTCTCGGAAGCCTGTCTGTCTGGGATCTAAGCATTCGTGCTTCTCCAAGTACCACTGAATCCTCCTGAGTACGATCTTCTCCATAGTCTTTCCAACGTTAGATGTCAGGGAAACCGGCCGCAGATTTTCAATTCGATCGAGTGGCTTGCCGGGCTTGGGTATCGGAGTCACCCAGGACAGCTTCCAATTCTCCGGCAGCCTCCCCGATTCCCAGACCTGATTGTATTTGTCCAGGAGTCTTTTCTTGGCTTCTTCCGGAAGATTTCTGAGTGCTTGATAGGTGACCCCGTCTGGGCCGGGGGCGCTGTTGGTCTTTGTTGTGAAGAGCGCGTCTATGAGTTCTCCCATGCCAAGCTGATCTTCCATCCCAGCTTCTAGTGGCATGTCCAAGTCCTCGGCCGTTGCTCTGGGGGTCGTCGGTCCTCCGTCTTGGGGAAAAAAAAGTTCACCGGCCTTGATTGCCAACTCCTCCTCGCTTATGTTTAGCTTAACGGCGAGGTTCTGTGCCGCATTTCTTGTCCTACGCTTTCTTCCGTCGAGGCCCCGGTAAGTTCGCCATGCCTTTCCAAGCCCGGTGCGCTGGTTGAAAGACTCGCAGTGAGTTCTCCATCTTGTGCGTCCTAGTTCCTTCGTGTACCTGTTGGCCTTCGCCGTCGCATGGTTTAGCTTGATTTTGTTCCGTAGTGTTTTCTTTTTACCGTATCTCTGGAGCGCTCGTAGCCGGCTAGCCCAGAGATTGAGTAGGTGGTTGTCAGGGGTGGGAGCATCGGGCTTCACCAATATCTCCGTCTTGGCTTCTCGGAGTGCCTTGCGTATGCTCATCTCCACGTCTTGGTCGTCTTCCGCTTCAAGAAGCTCCCTGAAACGGTCCCACTTTACTACCGGTCTCTTCTCCTTATAGCCTGTCCCTTGGGCATGTCTGAGCTTTATTTCCAGGGGGAAGTGATCGCTGCCGAGGGTATCTCTCCATGGCGTCCATTCAAGGTCGAGACATCTCGAGGCCCAAGTGAGGTCCGGGGTAGAGTCCTTTTGCCTCCACTGCTTGGCTAACCTAGTCCTGACGCCGGGTGCGTTGAGCAGCTCCAGGCCCACTGTATTCATGGCTTCAAGGATATCTTTGCCTCTCCTCGTGTTGGTCGTATATCCCCAAAACCTGTGTGGTGAATTGAAATCCCCGGCTACAATAATGGGATCCCCTTCGGCTAGTTTGATCAGCCCTTTGATCCACTGCATCATCTCCCCTCCCCGTCTACCGCTTTGGTTCCTGGTCTAAGGTAGACAGAGGCCACAGTGATTTTGGTTCGTCCACGCCTGATTCTCGCGGCGACAACTTCTCTGTCAGTTGAGCAGAGGGCTGTCGTATCCAGTTGGGCTTGCGGTATATGCCGTAGGATACCAACGGCTGCCCAGCCCCTCTTAGTTACAGGGCTCTTCTCTCAATATCTAGGGGCCGTGTCGATGGTAGGGTTCGTGTAGAAGTTGTAACATGGTAGTGTCATGGTCGGGGTCCTTGTTTCTTGGAGTAGCAGCACATCGGGCGGGGGCTGCGTCTCAAATCGTAATTTGAGTTCTGCACTTCTGGCCGTAAACGTACAACAATTCCATTGGATGATCCGAGTCAGTTCCGTGGCGATCCGTCTAGCGTTGGTCGCGGAGTTACTTGCCATGCTTCAGCTCGGCAATCTCCCTCCTGAGCTCTCCGATGACCTCGAAAAGTGCCTTGAAACCGATCTTCATTTCGGCTTGAAGCTTGTCGACCTCCCTCTCGGCGTTAAAAGTAGATGTTTGTGGCGTTTGTGGTGGTGTAGGATTGGCCCATTCTGGCATCCAGGCAGGCAGGCTTGTCCTGCTTATTTCTCCAGCTGGTTTGGGTTCCTTTGTGCTCGCCAAGGCAGCTGCTGAGTAGCTGTCCCTGGGTTGCGCCTCCGGAGGCTTCAACGCGGGTTTTCTTTTTTCCGGAATTTTGCGCTTTGGGCAGACATTGCTGGTAGCAACGTGCTTGCCTTCACAGTTGTGGCATCTGGGTTCTCGGTGACAGTTCTCCATTTCCTCATCATGCAGCTGGCCGCAGTGATCGCACCTTTGCTCCTTCCGGGGACAAACATCGGTCTTATGGCCAAGCCCGTGGCATTTAAAGCACACGATGGGGCGTGGGAGGTACTCTTTCACGCCTAGAATTGCGTTGGAAAAGATTACTGTCTTGGGGAGTTTGTTACTCTCAAATGTCACTAGTACCACGCTTTTGCTTTTCCCGATCAGTCGTGCGCTGACTATGCGGGACGTCTTACATTTCATGTCTTGCATCAGCGTCTCTGGAGTCTCGTCACGGTTGTCTCCTGGGAGGTAAATGATGCCTCTAATCTGATCTCTCCCGATGGCTTTGTACGGTCGAATCGCGTACTGATCGCCGCCTTTTTGTACCTCTGTAAGCTGAAGAAGCTTTTCTGCGGTTTTTTCATCTTTCGTAGTAAGTGCAATGGTGTTTGCCCTTGCCTGATACTGGATCTTAAAATCGTCGTCTTTTGTAACACCCGCCTTCTCAGCGGCGCTCACAATGTCTCGAGCCCTAAATGCCATAGCCTCTTGCTTGCACACAGGTTTGAGAACAATGGTCTGTGTCGTCTTTCTACTATCTCGTGCGTTTTCTATTGGAGCAGCTGTGGCTTTGTTTTCTTCTTTTTCGACCGATGTCAGCAATCGTTTGCGCCGGCGTTTAGTCACCGTGCACCATCCGTTGTCCTCGGGATTTGTTGACGGAGGGTTGGTACCTGGAGGCGTGGCAATTCGTTCGCTCGGAAGAGAGCTCGACGAAATTTCTGGCGGGGACGCTGGAAACTCCTGAGAAAATTTTGAGCTCACCACTTCGTTAGCGTTGTTCAGTCTGGCTTTTTGCTGGCGTTCTTCGGCGAGCTGAGCCAAGAAGCACATGAACAGCTTCCCAATTTCATCTCCTTGGATCCCGAGCAGGTCCAGTAGTGCAGGGTCAATCGGAAGGTTGACGGCCGGGCGGCCCGTCGATGAAACATTCACAGACACATCTCCGGACTTGGCACTCTGTGGCCCGGTAGTTAGGCCTAGCGACGTATCCATCTCATCGGGTTCCGAAGACGTCGGTCGGAGGAGTGCGGAGGGTTCACGGTGCTCCATTGAACCTTCTTCGATAGTAAGAGACTGGTTCGGGGGCACGAGTACCCCCTGAACCTTGGAAAATACCTTAGAACTGGCAAATATTTGAGAGCTACGAAGAAACTGCAACTGGGTTGCTCGGAGGCTTCTTTTTCTTTTTTCCTTTTGAAACAAGATGGGGCTTTAGGTGGAATCGGAGACGACACCGCCGCGGCCGCCGCGAACATCCACGTGCACTTGCGCGTGGACCACCGTGGCGTGGACTGACGCGGACCTCCACACCGTCAGGGCTGGATTCGGCGCTGTAGGCGTTCTGTCTAATGCAAATGACCAGAGTGGAATGTGTTCCCCCTAGTAAAGTATTTGGTTAGGCTTTGTCCCCCACTCCCTCCGGCTTCTGGCGGCTGTTCACGGTAGCAGATGGCGCTGATAGTTTTGTGGACCTAGGATAGATGGCGCCACTAGAACTCCGTATAATAAAAAAATTGTCGATAATACCAGGTTTTTGACGCATTAATGTTGGAACGACAAGATTTATAGAAAAGTTACCTTTTATCGAGAGATATTCGCACAACTTGCTATCTTTCTACAAGATTCCCCATTGACGTCACGCCGCGTGTTTCTCATGGCCGCCGCTCGCGGCTGCAGGTCGGGGTATATTCTAAGTTTTGCCTCGCTATTACACGGCGGAATCGCAACAATTCGATGAAAGGAGGTGTGTTTTCTGTCATTTGTGACAAGGTGAACAATATCAAAAGCAGAAGATGCCAATTCTTGCAACGTTAAAATCGTTGCACAGCTCCTTTAAGTCACTGGTTTCCGAAAAAGGAGCGCCAAGCTATCCGTATACTCGTCATTTTGGTCCATGGAATGAGCAGTTTTTACTATACACCTGAAAAACCGACCCAATTTCGGGTGACGGGTATTTTACACGTTTTCAAGAAAGCCTCCTGTGTGCTGCTAGAGCCACTAAATGAGCTGCGCTTATTCAGCGAAGATAGCTTATTTAGTGGCACTATGTGCTGCTATTGTGAGCGATAATGTCGCCGCGTAACGTTTGCGCCATGTTGAGGCGGGCGAGGGCAAGATGGCGGTATGGTGGCTATATGGGGAGACGTATATACCGAACAGAAAATCGATAGCATGCCACTTGTTCATGACGCCAGTGCAGACATGAACAAATTACTCAAAAAAGGTAGTCAAGTTACTCAGTATTGACGCCATAAGTAATTGAAGTGAAGTAGAAATTACGTATTTGTAGTAGTGATTGAGTAAACTACTATCTAGTGCAAAAAAGTAGCGAGTTACTTTTGAAGTTACTTTCGAAGTTACTTTTTTATATTATGTGGTGGCAAAATCAACAGCAGTTTTGATCCGTGAAAAACCCTGCGAGCCTAAAGTAAATGCAGTAATTTTATGGCTTGCGTTTTCACCAAAATAGTTTATTCGCTCGCAGAACCAATTGACTTTCACAGCTCTTATCGGAAAGTTTTCCCCTTTTCCTCCTAAAGATATTTCCAGCCAAGCTAATAAAACGCTCCACCGTGGCGCTGGATGGAACGGCAGCGTTGAATTTCAGAAACAGGCTGTGCAGGGTCGGGTAAGCAAGTGTCGGCATCTTCGGTGTCCACGACGAAATATGTGAGGTTTGCCTCGATAGGGAGGGTCTTTTATAACAACCCTTCTCCTTTTTTTTTTTTTCTTTGGGGGGGGGGGGGGGGGGGGGGGGCAAGTTGACATTGTTATACTGGCCCCTCTTTATTCCCAGGAGGTTCGGGGAGTAGCTGAGCGAGTGCACCTGACCGTCAAGGGATGAAGTCTCGCGCAACGACGATGAGATCATCTGGACGACTGCGCGTCTCGTTGCAGTGCTATTCAAACGCTGCTGAAAAAAAAAAAAAAAAAGAAGTTTTGGTTTAACACAAGACGAAACGAAGTATACTTCACCGCTGACGCCGGGTCCAACAAGGGGATCTCCCAAGGGTGACCCGCAATCCTCGCCAGCGACTGTGGTATCCTGAAGCGCCTGACACGCCTGACAAGAAAAACGTTTTCAACAAAGAGGGGGTCTCCCTGGCATGGAAGGTCGGAAGAACGCGAAGGATTACGTGAACAAGCATCGTCGCTCGGACAGTTGGAGCTGGAAACTTGAACGTAAGAACGAATTATCCGTGTTCGCATTTGTGCACGGGGGAGTCCCGCTTTGGAAGGCAGTATGCGCTGACGACGAGGCGACCATGGGAACAGGCGCCCAGCCGCGAGGCCATTCTAGTGGCGTCTCCCGTGGCACCCACCGCTTGAGACAGTAGTCACTAAAGGCAGATAACATGAAAACAACAACAACCCTCGGAGTGTCCCCGTCTTTTACGGTTGCAGCTGCACGCCGGTGTTATGTTTTGGCTGCTCGTCGCCACCTTGGCCCAAGGACGCCGGTGGTGCCGTTTCTACGGCTGCGGAGTATAAGTACGTGGGAACGGAACGTAAGGGGCCCCTAGTTCGACAAGGCCGCTTCATCTGCCGGCGTCTTATTTATTTCTGCGCTCAAACTTTTGTTATGTGCACACAAACTAGCATTAGATTTCGAAAATAGTTAGTAATTTCAGTAGAAGCTACCTGAAAAACGTAGTTAAATTAAACTGCTAATTACTCAAATAAAGCAGTAATTGAAAGTTACCAATTACTCGGAAAAGCATTTAAACTACGGTAGTTTGAGTAGACTAGTTGAACTACGTCAAAGGCTGCGCCAGTGGCACCGGTACCTAAAGCCCCTTCATGTTTCAAAAGTATACCGCAAGGTGCGTAGATTCACGAGACACGTGCGACATGCAGCCCTTGTGAAGATTGGCGGCACAGCGCATCACTGAGCTAGATTTCAGACACCATGTTCTTCCTAGAAGTGGCGTGCGGCACGTGTCTCGAGCATTTGCACATCAACGAATGGCGCCACTTTTCCCAGGATAGAGGGGCTTTACCGGTACCATGCGCCTGGTGCCACCGGGCGGCGCACAACGGCACTTCGCGTAAAGTGCGTCTAGGGAGCCTTCGTATAGACCTTTCCAGAAAAGGGCTGCTGGCCGGTTTCATTTTCAGTGTTCGTGCGTATCGCGCGT